TTGCCCTTTCACACTCTTCCAGAATTTTGCTGGAAAACCTGTTTGGATAGAAAATTTTGAAATTTTTTTGGTAAAAGTTTCGAGAAATATCAGGTTTATAACATTGAATGGGTACTACCTTCAATAAATGAAACAAATCATCAGGTTTTAATATTTTATATACTACCAGATTTGAAATAGTAGAAATAAAGTTATAAGACTTAAGAGTTTCTTAGTTCAGTTCTTGGTAATTTTTATGCTAGACTTCTTTTTTGAAAAGTTTCTATTTCAGTTAAAATCTTTTAGATGTTCACCATCATGTTCAAATTGCATATTTCTAGCTTGTCTGACTCATTTGGACTGTCTTTCCCTTCATGTTGTAGTGGAAAATTTTTCGAGTTTTCATCATAATTTACCATGTTTATTACAATTAGACCAATCCCTGTAGTGGTTAATGATGCATATTTCTCAGATGGATAATGTATGACACTGTTTGACAATTCACAATGTTTTGATTTGTTTAGTGTAAAATTATGTCATGGAAAATGTTTGGCGTTATATGCTTTATTAGGAAGTGCAATACTGACATTGCTATATCCCTTTTAATGATTCAGATACAGGTCTTTTGCAATGTCTGCCAAGAAGACTGCAAACGTCCAGTTTTCATCTTGGCCATTGAATAGGAATTCCTGTATGGATTCCAGGGTTGTTTATTGTTTTTCAGAAACTGTCAGTATTTTATTTACGGCTTCATGTTTGGCTCAACATTTGAAAGATGTTGAAGACTTATTGATTATGTTTAATATCAAATTCTCCTTTTTTAGTGTGTGCTGCTAATGCCTATTAGCAGATTGAATTTTGATGGTTTTTTTCCCTGAAGGTGCTTCGATAATGGCATTAGTTACAAATGCTGAAGTTTGTGATGCAAACCCACAGCTAATAGTGAGTGGTGACTTCGAGCTCTTCAGCCTTTTCAGATTATGGTCGGCGCCAAGTCTTTTCCGGACCAGTAGTTATCTCAAGGTTTTTGAAGACAATGTTTGATTGTGAGTTTCTTGAGGAGAAAGGCAACGGCAGAGTTCTTGTCGTTGATGGGGGTGGGAGTTGAGGTGTGCTATACTGGGTGGCAACCCTGTTGTACAGCACAGAACAACGGATGGGCAGGAATAGTTGTGAACGGGGTATCAGAGATGTCGATGAGATAATGGTTGTGATATCGGCGTGAGAGCTCTCGCCTCTCATCCGTGAAAGCCAACAAGAAGGGGATTGGCGAGAAACATGTGCCGATAACCATTGGGGACAAGGATCTGTGAGGGGAATGGCTCTATGCAGACATGACGGCATCTGATTTCCCGGGCAAAGTTGTCGGTCTGAGTCTGTTAACAGAGAGTGCAAGGAAAATCCAGGTACCGGTGCCGCCCCTATTGTGCTTTAAAGCAGCTACGCTCTTGCGTGATGATGGGTAGTTTGTCAATTGTTTTTGATTATCCTGTATATTAGCCTTTAAGTGTTGTTTCCAACTTTCCATTATGGATTGACGGTGATAAGAATAATTTATTAAAGTGATTTTTGTTCCTAGTTTCAAATTTTAATTCATTTATGAGAATTTAGTGACAAAATTAATGCTTAATAAATTAAAAAATACATGAAAAAAGAAAAAAAAAGGATAATAACAATATACCCCAGGTGGTAACAGGTGTAACACCTTAAACAAAGGGGTTTTTTGTTAATTCATAAACTTGGAAGTTGATTTTTGTTAATTAAGAAAACCTCTGATAAATGCTACTCTTTTCCAGGGGCCTGAGCATATATAGTCCACTCAATAATCATATTTTAAAAAATGTACAGGTTTTATTAAAGGACAAATTTAGCCAATAAGTTTACTGATTTATCAATTATACCCTTTATAAAAAATTAAATGATTATTTTTAAAATATAATGCTAGACTATTTTAAACTTAATAGTCTAATTCGAGTCAACATTTAACTGTAGATTTAATAGTTAATTAAAGCATGTTTTATTGTACTAAACTTGGTAGTCTAGCGTATTTTGACTATTTTTATCTTTATTAGTTTTATTAAAGACAATTAAGTAATAACGTGATTTTATAGTTAAATCTGCCTTTAAACAAAACTTTGATATTTTGAGAATTAAGAATGAGATTAATTAAAAAGACTAATATAGCAATATCTCTTTTTCATATTCAGTTACATTCTTTGAACGGTTACCAATAAATTTGGATGGATGGGCCTAGCCCCTGGTTGGCATGCCAAAGTACAGTCATGGCTCAGACTTCACAGTGGGCTGGTCGGGCCTAGCTAGCCCTCAATGCTCGTAAGGTCTGCGGACGAATGAAAATTACAGGTATGGAAAATAAAAAAATGGGAACATTTGTGTTTATATTAATTCAAATATTTGTTTGTTTGATAAAATAATTACTAAAATTTTGGAGAAATTAATCACACAGATAAATAAAAAAAAAAAAAAAGGGTTCAAATTTAATTGGAAAAAGTGTATGTAAATAAAAAACCTAATAATATTAAAGGAATTTTTTTTTTTAAATATATTTGTGATGCTTGATTTTGACACCAACTATTCGCACGTGAAAAATGTAAAGAGAATTAGAAGTCATACGTGATAGAGAGTAATGAATTTATAAAAGGTAAAAGACAATGTTTAAAGTCGTTCGAATGCTCAAAACTGAATCCTACGTCCACTGATATTGTATTAATGAAAGTAAGGCAGGTCGCATTCAGCGAGTTGATTACAGCTTAGAGAATACAAAGAGAGAGAGAGAGAGTAAGTATTCTAGAGTAAATTAGCTCATCCCGCAAATGAGAGGGAATGTCTCTATTATAGTGAGATAAATCAAGGTAATGATTATTAAATCTGTAAGTTGGTGGGTACCATGCAAATCCTTCTCTGCATCCCATTGCTCACATGCCCGATTGATTTCCTCGACTTATGAGGGATTGGACACGTGACGATTTTCAAACATCCGCTAACTTGTCACTCACCCATGCCACTGACAGAGACATGCAACTTATGTCATTATGCGACGTGACTGCACCTCAACAGTTGCAGAACCTTTCAAAGTTTTGACTACCCTGTTGATAAGACTTCGCGTCAGTTTTTCATTTCAGGCATAACAATATCTATGAGGGCCGCTGTAAATTAGATCGGGTTAACATATTCAATCAATCTTTGTTTCAAAGCTCGATACGTCGTTATATAGGCTCAAGCCCAAGACTAGATGGAATGGTCAGCTAGCACAAGGCCCGTTAACCGCTGGCTTGGTCCATTAGGCCCACTGACTTTACCCATTAGGCTAACTTCGTAGCCTAACCTAACTTGAACCCAACCCAATTATCTATTTAACACGTGATTAGATTAATATGCATAAACGCACATTATAAAAAATAATAATTAATATAATATAATTAAAATGGTAAATTAAAAAAAAAAAATAGTAGAAATGTGATCCTGTCTTAGCGAGGATTTGGTTTGATTCATACGGTGAAGCAAAATCTGAAAGAGGTTAGATTTAGATCTAACTACTCGGTGTTTAATAGCGCACGCCCATAGGTTGTTTCGTCAATAACTAACACGTGATTATCTCTCTCCAAATGTGTAAGCGAACGTGGATAACAACACAAGGTACCACGTCATTCGTACGATAACTCTTAATCCCTCCATTTGTCGAATTTTGTACAAAATAATAATTTTAATAAAGTTGTATAAAATTTCTTTGTTAAAGTACGAGGTTACGACGAGTGTGAATCCCTGGATTAAGGTTGGAATATTCGTGGTATTTTAATTTTGTTATTTTCGTACTATACTATGACTCCGAGGAGAATTTTTTTTTTTTTTCTTTTTTTTAGTAAACTATTTTCTCGCCCAGTTTTCTTTAGTGACAATTTCCTACCAAACAAGTTTTAAAAGATCACTTTTATATCCAAAGTTTATATTATAATACCACACTTTATTTTCTCAACGCGCGTTCAGTGAATACAAGATGAGGTGAGAGAGGTTTTGTAGAGTGAAGACTGGTAGATCGAATGGTGGGTGAGTGGTAACTAATTGAATAAACCGTTGAAATCAGTCGAAAATCAACTAAAAACAAGAAATCATAGTTTTATGGTGACGAAATCGATAAGAAATCAAGTAGCGAAGTGAGAAGGATTTTGTAAAAAAGATACTTTTGTACAGAAGATACTGAAAGTTTAAATGGTGGTAACAGAGGATTTTTCTCAGCTTGAATGGTTCGAGTATTAATGAATATAAACTTTGGGTGAGAAAGTGATATTTTGAAGCTTTTGGGGGGGCGAATGGCATTTAGGCAAACTTTGGGTGGGAAAAAGTTTACTTTTTTTTTTTTTTTAAATTAAGTCATTAATCTGGGTTCAAACTTCAATATTTAGGAAGCCGATACTAAAATATATTGGTCAAATATTTAAATATAATAAAAATTCATTTGCATTATTATTAAAGTTTATAAATTTTAATTTAAAAAAAAAAAAAATCAGTTGTTCTCTTCATAAAATATGCCTTGGGCTATTTTTCTTTTTGATTGGTTTAATATTAGCACTAAAAATATCTTTAATGTTGTTAAATCACTTGAAGAAAATCTCTTAATATATAATATTAATCAAATTCATTTATACAAAATTATTCAAATAATTTTATTTTCAAAATTATTTTTTCTCAAAAGAAAATTGTGCAAGGTAAATTATTCACCTAACAAATTCTCTAACATATAATATTAATTAAATTCATTACAATATTATGAAATTAATTATATAATTTTTAGTATCAATTATTTTTCTCAGAAAAATAAAAATAATTTTGTTACTATTTGTTTTTTTAAATTTGTGGGGTCCACTTTTACTTAAAGGGGCCCACAGTCAAAAGTGGGTCCAACGGAATATCCGTTAGAATTCTCTCCTTCAAAAACAAACTCTGCGTGTTCAAGCTCAGAAACTCTCTCAACCAAAACCAAAACCAAAACCAAAACAAAAATCAAAATCAAAAACAAAGAAAACAGAAACAGAAAATACACTTTAAAATCTCTCCTTTTCTTTCTCTCTCACTCAGTGGTGCTCATTCTCCGCCCAGTTTCGGCTCCACTTTCACCGGAGCTGAAACGCCTACCTCCCAACTTCACATCCTCTACAAAACCCATTAACCCCTTTTCCCCATTCTCTCAACTGTCACCGCCATGTGATTCAATCTATCCTCTACAAGCAAGCAAATCCATGGACGAACCAGCTCAACTTGGGATCGAGAATGGCGATGAAAATGAGATGCCCACGTCGAGAATTGATGATAAAAGTCTCAGCATTGCGGAGAGACGGGCCGTAAAATGTGGGTTCAAGGCTGAGAGGATCCACACAGCCCGGTTTCGGGCCGCCGGGCCGGCAGGTTTGGGTTCGGGCTCGCCCGCGGCCCTGTCGCCGTGCCTCACTATTCCACCGGGGATTAGCCCCACCGCGTTGCTTGATTCTCCCATCATGTTGCCCAATTCTCAGGTGATTATCATCACTGAGTTTGTTTTTATTATTATTATTTTTTTATTTTTGAAATACGGGGAACTACTAAAATGCCGGCACGGTAAGGGTACTGGGGGACTCTGAAGGAGGTTCATTTTTGTTGTGAGTGCAAATTCATGACATGAAAAATTTATCAAAATTTTAGAAATAATTTTTGGAATGATTTTTTTTATTTTTTATTTTTTTTTATGAATATATATATTTTTTCATCGATTTTCAAGTAAATTATTTTTTTTTAATTTTTTTTATTTAATTAAAGTATTAATGTATGGTACTGGCGCGGTAATGTACTGGTATAGTTCAATTTGTGATTGATTACATTTACAGGTGTTCTCTTTAGTATTTATGCTGGAAGGGAGTTGTTATGTTGCTGGAGAGTAACGTTACTGTTACCCCAGCTCTGTAACTGTAAGTAGAAACCATGCTGAAGTTTTGTTATGGTACTGGGGGAAAGGACGACCCTTTATGCTGTCTTTGTTTCTGTGGCTGGTTTTATGTTTTAAAATCTTGTGTATTATATTATCTATCTAAACGTTTCCAGTACCGTTACTGGGATGCAATTGGGATTTGTATACCGGTAAATATGGTTAAACCCTTTAAATCAAAGCTTATTTTGATATAAACTATATGAACTTTTTGTTTTTTGAAGTATAGGCAGCACTTCTAGCAGCGAAAATGCCTTTATCTAGTACTCAATATGCTTGTAGTAGAAGACATTGATGTCCACAACTGTTGGGTTCGATGAAATATGGTAACAGGTAATAGATAAATGCTGTTCACTGTTAGGTTCGATGAAATATGTTAACAGGTAATAGATGAATGCTGAAGTGGAGTGCGGTTTTTACTTATTTGTGTGATTTTTGCAGTTGGTGGTAAACATTTAATCACAACATTTTAATCATGAGAAATAGACAGACGGTGTGTGAACATCCTGGATGACAATTGTTAAAAATAGATGAACATGTCATCTGAGAATTCAGTTTGTTATCTCCTTTGTTTTGTTGTTCACAGATGCATTTATTTAGATTGTAAGGATTATTTAAAACCTTTTATATGCCAAATACATCGAAACTTTGATTATTTGCGTTCATGTAATTTTTTTCTTTTTCTTGACACAGCTATCTCCTACTACTGGAACTCTTCCACTGCCGCCTTTTAATCATGAAAGTTCAATGCCAAATACATTGAGTCCTGCAGATGAGGACACAGGTGGCAGTGCAGGTTCCTTCTTCAGATTCAAACCTCAAGGGATGCCGGATTCTCTACCAGACTTTTCTAGTTCAGAGGATAAGGTAGTTCTACATGTTTTAATCGCAGAATTGGCCCTTCTGTTATATATTTTGAACACTAGATGTTCATGCATTCTAATAGCTTTTGCATCTCGTGTATCATCTTGGGTCAGGGTTGCATCACGCAATTCTCTAAGGCTGTTGAAAATTTCATAAAATTTATGTTGTTGGTTTATGATAATACATTCATATTAATTTACTCGTCAATATCTTACTTGTACTAGGATTTTAACTATAATTAAAGTTAAGAAANAGGACGACCCTTTATGCTGTCTTTGTTTCTGTGGCTGGTTTTATGTTTCAAAATCTTGTGTATTACATTATCTATCTAAACGCTGGGATACAATTGGGATTTGTATGCCGGTAAATATAGTTAAACCCTTTAAATCAAAGCTTATTTTGATATAAACTATATGAACTTTTTGTTTTTTTGGAGTATAGGCAGCGCTTCTAGCGGCGAAAATGCCTTTATCTAGTACTTAATATGCTTGTAGTAGAAGACATTGATGTCCACAACTGTTGGGTTCGATGAAATATGGTAACAGGTAATAGATAAATGCTGTTCACTGTTAGGTTCGATGAAATATGTTAACAGGTAATAGATGAATGCTGAAGTGGAGTGCGGTTTTTACTTATCTGTGTGATTTTTTCAGTTGGTGGTAAACATTTAATCACAAAATTTTAATCATGAGAAATAGACAGACGGTGTGTGATCGTCCTGGATGACAATTGTTAAAAATAGATGAACATGTCATCTGAGAATTCAGTTTGTTATCTCCTTTGTTTTGTTGTTCACAGATGCATTTATTTAGATTGTAAGGATTATTTAAAACCTTTTATATGCCAAATACATCGAAACTTTGATTATTTGCGTTCATGTAATTTTTTTCTTTTTCTTGACACAGCTATCTCCTACTACTGGAACTCTTCCACTGCCGCCTTTTAATCATGAAAGTTCAATGCCAAATACATTGAGTCCTGCAGATGAGGACACAGGTGGCAGTGCAGGTTCCTTCTTCAGATTCAAACCTCAAGGGATGCCGGATTCTCTACCAGACTTTTCTAGTTCAGAGGATAAGGTAGTTCTACATGTTTTAATCGCAGAATTGGCCCTTCTGTTATATATTTTGAACACTAGATGTTCATGCATTCTAATAGCTTTTGCATCTCGTGTATCATCTTGGGTCAGGGTTGCATCACGCAATTCTCTAAGGCTGTTGAAAATTTCATAAAATTTATGTTGTTGGTTTATGATAATACATTCATATTAATTTACTCGTCAATATCTTACTTGTACTAGGATTTTAACTATAATTAAAGTTAAGAAAATTTGACCATTAAATCAAACCGGTCAATTACAATTGTATATCATTTTGCATTAGTTAGAATATGTTTGTACTTGATATTGACCAATATGATAATCCAAGTAGGATTAGAATGCCTTTATAAGTTCAAGTGGTAAAGACGTGTCTAGTTGGTCATGCAGTGATCACTGATCAGTTTATAGAATGCTTGGAGACACGAATTACTATTAGTTTTTATTGATGTGAATCTATTGACCGGTCCAAGTTCTCAATTTTTTTGAAAAGGGGCATAATTAATTAATGTTCAGAATCGCCAACATCATCTATATTATGGCTGATGCTTTGTACTGTCTCCTGAACACTAATCTATATAGTGCACTGATTTATACCGACAGAAGCATGTTGCTGTTTGCTACTGAGTTGATGTGGTTTAGGAGCTCATCTTTTAACATAAATGTTTATGAATTTTGATGAGTTGCTGTGCCGGTATGCTTTGTCTGTCTTGAAGTTCTTTAGGTAAGATTAATGTGTAGTATGTGTGATCTGATTAGATCTGTTCTCCTCTCAATGTTGCTCAGAAAGCTGATGTTGATTATCAAGCTCTTTTCACAGTGGACCTACCAATGGATTTTGAATATTCAGCGGAGGTTCCAAAAGAGAATACTGCTAAGAGTTGTACTGTTGATTCAGTTAATGATGCCAAAGTTTCTAAGAACATGATTGTGAATGATAACTGTGGCAATTTGCAACTGCATTGTTCTGATAGGGATGGTGATCTAACTTCTTTGCACAAAGAACCCATCCATGGGGAGGATGTAGGGATGCATCACCTTTTGGAAGTAGACCAGAAGAGAACAAACCCTCCACTGGGAGTGGTAAATACCTCAGAAGACGTTTACAACTGGAGAAAATATGGGCAGAAACAGGTAAAAGGTAGTGAATATCCTAGGAGCTATTATAAATGCACCCATCCCAATTGTTTGGTGAAAAAGAAGGTAGAGCGTTCCTATGATGGACAAATTACAAAAATCATATACAAGGGTGCTCATAACCACCCGGAACCTCAGCCTAGTCGTCGACCATTGCTTGGATCAGCATTTTCATTGGATGAAATGTCAGAGAGAAGTGAAGGCAGTGGAAACTGTTTCAGAGTTGAAGATGGGAAGGATAACAAACTTGGTTCTGACTGGCGGGTTGATGGTCAGGAAAGAACATCCTCTGCTTCTGTTATTACTGAGCTCTCTGATCCATTATCGCCCACCCATGGCAAATCTGTTGGTACTTTTGAATCTTCAGATACTCCAGAGCTTTCATCTACACTTGCCAGCCATGATGATAATGATGATGGCGGCACCCTGGGAGGCATATTACATGGTGATGATGCCAATGATGATGAACTGCAGTCTAAAAGAAGGTAATTAGGTGTATTTTGCATGCTGTTTACTTTCACATGCTATGACGACCTATGTTTATCTATCAACTTTCCAATTCAGGAAGATGGAAAGCAGCTTGCTTGAAACCAATTTGGCATCAAGAGCTGTTCGTGAACCTAGAGTTGTCGTCCAGATAGAGAGTGAAGTAGACATTCTTGATGATGGGTATCGCTGGCGGAAGTACGGGCAGAAAGTTGTCAAAGGAAATCCTAATCCTAGGTATTGAACTTTCTTTAGCTCTCTTTTGGGGGGCTTGCCTTTTCACCCTTCTGGGATTATTCTGTCAACCCTGACAGAATTCTGAATACAGATGATCTGTATTGAGCTTTTTTCTGTGAGGCCTTTTTGTTTCTTCTGTTGGGGATTGTTCTGTTGACCCCTACAGAATTCTGAGCACAGATGATTCTTGAGAGACATAGATTGAAGATGAGTATTACAATTAACGACTTAAAATTGTTCAACTGAATGTCGCATATATGTGTGCAGTTGTGTATTTGTGTTCAATTGCATTAACATTGCCGTGTTTCTCATTATTAAAGAAAACATGCATTTCTGAGTTTTTGAGTTATTTTTTTCCCTAAGTTGGCTGGATAAAAAGCTCCTTTCAAATCTTATGACATGTTTTTTAAGTTTTCCTCATCTTTTTGCTACAGGAGCTATTACAAATGCACGAGTGCTGGTTGTTTAGTCAGAAAGCACGTGGAAAGAGCCTCACACGATTTGAAATGTGTTATCACAACTTATGAGGGAAAACACAATCACGAAGTGCCCGCAGCCAGGAACAGCACTAATGTTAATTCAAGTGTCAGTAATTTACTCCCAGCTGTTGCTGATGCTCAAACAGGCTTGACATTGCCAAGAAACACCTATGCCGCAAAGTCTGAGCAACAAATTCAAGATATCGCACCACGTTTTGAAAGGAAACTTGAATATAACAATGAATATTTGAGGCCTGGGTTTCTTGGGAATTTCAGTAATGATATGAAGTTTGGGATTCCATCCATTTACCTAATGAAGTTTCCGCCCTTACAAAATCCTTACAGCTCTTTTGGACTAAACACCAACTGCAGTGTAACTCCTCCTCAGTCTGGTTCTGTCGACTCAGCTGTTCCCAATTTCCCATTTTCGTTGCCGTGGAGTCTCCCCACATCATCAAATCTTTCTCTGCCTGCTTGTGATTTTAGTAACAATAATGGAAAGCCGGTAGGTCCGGTTCAATCTTTCCTTTCCGGGCAGCAGCTGAAGGAGAATGATATGAGATTCCTCAGGCCAAAGCAGGAGCAAAAGGATGATACCCTCTATGATGCTTGCCTGCCCGTTGATAATACAAGTTTATCCTCTTCGTCTTCATCGTCAGTCTATCACCAGGTGACGGGCAATTTTCCGTCTTAACACATGATTCAAAGGTAACAAATTTGGACTGCATTGTCTGTTTATCACCAGGTGATGGACAATTTTCCATCTTAATACATGATTCAAAGGTAACAGATTCAGACTCTGCTCGCTTTTCTCTTAAATTCTAAGGTTTCTAGCAATATTTTACTGCTACTACACTTTCTTTTTTGCTTAATCTCGATATCGAAGCATCTGAAATTTTTGCCTAAAAATTTGCGTACAACTGTATTTACTGCATTCTTGTTAGTTTTCAATTTTATCAAGAGGAATTTTTCTTTACAGAGTACAAAATTGATTAGTAGCTCTCTCTTTCTCTCTTGCTTCAGTGTTGAGTTTCTGCTTGCTTTTGATTAACTCCAATTTTTGTGGCCATTTAAAGATTGTAATATTATTACCGGAATTTTATTTATTTGCTTAAGCTTTTAGGTGAAATGATTATTTATTGAAACTAGTTCCTTGGAATTTTACAGAGATGGTTAAAAATTTTGAATTGTATAATTTTAGCCGATTGCACTTGTGTATATGTTTTTGCTTTAGTTTTTGTATGCAATTCCAATCCTATTTTAAGATGTTAAAATAGCACTTAAAATAATTATAAATAAATAAATTGTCTGATAAGCTGGACCGGGCCCATGATAAGGCCCAAAACATGGCCCAATCCTACAGTTTGCCTTGGGCTAGTCCACAATTTGGTTGGATCAACAAGTTTTAAACATGTTTGGTTTTTTTTATTTTTATTTTTAAGTGTTTAAGTTTATTTGTACCCACTTCCTTGAGCATTTTATAAATTCAAAAGATTATATAAACCACAATCCTAAAGTTTAAATCCAAGAACCAAGGAAGACACAAACCTCTTTAACTATCACGGCAACCCCTTAGCCTTTCTTAAAATAAATTTAGCACAAAAACTAAAATCTAACAATTGCAAATCATCTGCAACTGTTCCTCTTTAGATATTTAGTACTCAGTCTTGAGGCAATAAAGAAGATGAAAACATGCTCAAGGAAGCTGGAGCTCTAAACAACCAGGAAAGCTTCTGAACAAAATGATGCGTGTTATATTTGGTCGTGCAAATTCAAAATATACACAGCAAAACAGCTGCTGTGTTCTTGAATGTATGATTTCGGCAACAGAAGACTAAAAACACAGAACCAAACATAAGTTTTGATTATAACAGTGAATCATAACATTCAAAGCCGACGTCGGCTAGAAAGTGAAGGAATCATGCAATGCAAGCAAACCAAGCTATATACATTAACCACATGCATAACTACTACATAAGTTTTCACTATGAACCATAGAGTAGAAATACACTCAACTACACTGTATAATCCATGCGATTACAAATTCCATCCCAGAACTGATAACAAGTTATAATCCACAAAAAACCAAAACAAGCAGGTTAAAAACTACCCACATCCTAGAAAACATCATAAGCATCAAGGAAGAATATAGATATAACATTATCGTATTAATAGCTTTCTATTCACAAATAAGTTGAGCAACAGAAAACCTAAACAGCTACATAAGACTAGAAATCCTATCTAAAATATAGACCTACGCATACACATACCAGGAGGATCAAACACTGAAACAAAATGTTTACATGGAAAGACGATTACTTAAAATCAATCATTTGGCGCAAATTATATGGAATAGATAGGTAGGGAGATTGCTATTTACTTACAGTAAATACATGCTTAGAAGACATTAACTCACTTGCGCATGAGCTTAATTCGTATTCTATCCAATGACTCAAAATAGATGAAGGCTTCCTAAATTTCCTAATCAACACTCCATTCACCAACTCCAAATTACCCTCCAAAAGTTCTCATCCTAATTCATAAGGTCTGCAAAGTCTATGAATAAATGCCTTCTGGTGTGAATGAAACTTCAAAAAACAAAATATCGCCATAAATCCAGTGAATTTTAATGAACATATCATTTACAACTAATGCAAGCTCATAACAAGGATTCAAACAAACTATGAGTAAGTGCATTAATTGGCCCTCACTGCCAATTCACAAAACAAGAGAAAATCATGTTGAAAAAGAAATCTCAGTAGCAAAAGGGTCATGCGTGTTTGCAGAAGCAATGAATTTTGCAAATTTCTAACGAAGAAAGACTATCACTTAATGTACTTTTTCAATTAACCTTTTCAAATATGTATCAAAGAACGAGCATTATACAATGTCAAAGCATTCGAAAATCAACACTCAAGAAGATAAAAAAAGCTTGCATGAGTGATCATCAACATAAACAAAAACAAACAGAGCAGCTCATGAATCATGACATTACTAATCTAGCCATCACAACAATTAAGATCAATATCCCAACAAGGGAAAACATGTCTAAACATCAAAACTAAAATCCCACTGACATCAATGAAAATACATGCATTAAACACTTGAACATAATCAAAGTTCATTTACAAATTGAACACGCGTGTGCATATGCACAAGTCTACATGACCAAAATGTAAACAAAGAAAAAGTATCATACAATGAACTTTTTAACTAATCTTTTCAAGTGTATGAAGGAAAAAAAAAAAGGAGCATCATACAATGTAAATGAACATAAAAACCATACTTTACAACTCACAAGATTACTAATCCTACCATCACAACAGTTAACAACTCAAAACACATCTAACACATCACTAAACTAAAACTCAACCGAAGCATCAATTGAAAAGCAAGCATTTAACACTTCTAACACAACAAACAAACTTAGTCTTCCACTTAATAATATTACCTCCACCACCATCATCAACAACATCCCTTCATTCATTGTTACAAACTAATAATCTAAACAATCACTCAATTAAAACCTCACCAACGTATGAATTAAAAAACTTTCATTTCACTCTTCAAGCATAACCAATAAACAACACATAACAACATTAACATAACACTAGCACCACCATTACACATTCATTCATAGCATACAAATTCATAAGATCACTAATTTAAGGATCACAACAATTAAAACCATTATCCCCACAACTAAAAAACACATCCAAATAATCACAAAAGCTAAAACCCCACCAACATATGAATTAAAAACCTGCAATTTAACACTTCTAACACAACAATCATAGCCTCACAGATAATGACATTAACTTCATGCCGCCACCGCCACCAATACACTAACATTCATTGATAACATAACAGCTCATAACATAACTAATCTAGACATCACAACAATTAACATCACTATCTTAACAATTCAAAACACATATAAAACATCAATTTAACTAAAACCCCACCAACATATCAATGTATATAACACTTCTAACATAACACAACCAACATAGTCTTATTACCACCACAGCCATCATAAACTAATATATATTCATCCATTGATGATATAGCTAATCTATTCATTCATTGATTTATAACTAATTATCTAACATGAAGGTACTAATAAATTAGTTCAGCTCATTAGATCTCTTGCGGTTAAAAAGAAATTAAAGCAAAACTAAACTAAAACCCCAGCAACATATAATTGGAAAGCATAAATTTAACACTTCTAACACAACAACCAAACATAGTCTCGTCATCATAATCATCATCATCATCATCATCATCATAAAACAATATACACTCAGTCATTATCATCACAACTGAAAACCCACTAACAACAAAACGAAATCTAAATAACCCACATCTCAGTCGAACTCTCTTTTCACTTCTTGAGGCTCCCTCGGATACCGGGCTTAGTTTTCGAAGACTCCGCCACGCGGGCGGCGTGAACATTAACAATCTTTTCTTCATCGTAGGGGATCTTCGGGTGACGAGCATCGTGATGAATCTTCATAGACTTGAGATCAGGCGCCGTCGTTTTGCAGAGGGGGCATTCGTACTTGGCGTGCCCTCCCTTCTCAATACCTGTCCTATCGGCCATCCCCGCCTTGCCCCCGCCGCGATTGGTGGTGGCGGCGTCCACCTTCATGGCTATCTCCTTCGCCGTGTGCTTCTTGGGCTTCGCCTTGCCGGTCATGATGGTGAGGGGATTGGATGCACGGCTGTGATGGGGTGAACCAGAGGAGAAAAGGAAGTGAAATTTCGGAAGAAACCCTATTTAGTTTTATATATATATAACTAAATAGGATTGTTTGGGCTTATCTGTTTTCCGCGTTAGATTGAGTGGGTGCTTTGTTTTTTTTCGTTGGGAATTTTTATATAATTATCGTTTGAGAAAAATCCTTTTCAGAGTCTTACAACGTTACGAGATTCTGGTTTGGCGGTGATTATCCAGGGAGATATTTATACCAGGTTAAGGCTTTAATTACACTAGGGTAATGTTTTTTATACAAACTCTTAGAGTATCCTTAAAAGAGTTTTTATATGATCTAAACTCTTTATTATAAAAAATATATCTATAAGAACAAGAGTCTAACATACTCTTTATCTTTAAAATATAAATTAGAGAGTAAGTTTGACTCTCCATATTTAGAAAGTCAAATTTTATTCTCTATCCTAATTTTAATTAATAAACTACGAGTTTCTATACATTTTATTTATTAATTCTCTTTCCTATTAAGTCTTTTTCTTAAAAATAAAGACAATCTTTATTAAATTTAAAGAGTCTATTGGATTTGAATAAAAATTGTGTTCTTTATATTTAAAAATTAATGAAGATGCTCTTTATTTATATGAAATATGTTCTTCAAAATAAAGAGCACCATTGGAGATGCTCTTATACAAAAAGAGTTTATACAAATTTAATGTCACATTACATTGTCTCGAGGTTTGCCACAAAAACACTTCCCCTCAATTTTGGGATACTAATGTTAACAATTCTTTTGGTTAGGGATAAAAATTGATTCACAACCTAATCTTACAAACATTCTCTTACAATCTCGATGTGACAGCTCGTAATTTGACACTTATTTACGAGTTATTACATTAGGATTATGAAAGAAAGTTTGTGAGATCAAGTTGTAAGCGTAGTAATACTCTTTAGTTAGATGTATCAGTTGAGAGAGGTTTAAAAAATATTTTGGATAAATTATTGTGGTTTGACCAATTTTAGGAAACTAACACCCGTTTTTTGTCGGTTAAATTTGACGGTTAGAGAGGCCGAAAAAATATTTTGAATAGATTGACGGCGTTTTTGGCTAAATGGTGTGCGGTTTTGAAAAACTAGTTTGAATTTTTGGCTAAACGAGTGATCATTTTAGTAATGTATAAATGGTTAGTCGACCTAAACCATGGATCGTTTATTAAAATGTTTTTTTTTTTTTCCATCACTTATATTGTCACATTTAATTGATACAACCTCTATTTAGGGTTGTTCTACAACGTTAAGAGATTCTGGTTTAATTGTGATTCTGAAGGGATTGATTTATTTAAAGGGTAAGGGTTTATTTTGTAATTTACATTGTCTCCTTTGAGGTTTGGCAAAAAAACGCTCCCTTCAATTTTGGAAAACTAATGCTGACGTTTTTACGATTAAGTATAACAATTGGAGAGGGGGAACAGATATTTTGAATAAACCATTAGTATTTTTGACCAAAAGGTGGGCAGTTTTGGAAAAATGGTTTGAATTTTTGGCTATTCAGATTAACCATTTTGGTAATGTAAAAAATGGTAAGCCCACAAAAATTGCCAAACGTTTATTAAAATATCTTTTACACCTCTTACATTGTCATAGTTAACTAATAGAACCTCTATTTGGGGATGTTAGCGTTAACCTCCCAAAACTGTGAAGGAAAAAATTTTTGTTATTGAAGGAAAGAGATTCATTAGTTACAAGACTTCTTGTAATTAATGATGGTTGGATTGAATGTAATTTCAGATTCTGATTATTAAATGAAAAATTTATTAACATGGGTTTGCCTTTGTTGAGGGTTTAACAGTTGCAAATGTATTAAGATTCTATGGATGAATTATCTTTGGGTGATCAAGTCGTTCGATAGAGACTCTTAGATGTATTACTTAAGAAGTACTGAGTTCGAATCTCTCATCAATTATAAATAAAGGTAGTCACTGAAGCTCTTACTCAACTAGTAGTTCTAAAATCCCGAGAGATTATTTGAGGCGTGCGAAAGTTAGCTTGTACACCGTGTCAAAAAAAAAAAATCTATGAATGGATGCAAGGGTTACCTTTTCTATTAAAAAGGTATTCACTTTTTGAAATGGCAACAAACCTACCTTTTGTCAAACGAGGGAATTCCGGCTAACCTGCTATGTCAATTAAAAAGTGGAACACAGCTGATAAAGTATCTTTAAATACTCTTTTTCTTTTAAAAGAAAAAGATTACCATCACAGATACTTCTATATACAAAATTGTGCCCAGATTAAGTGTTAAAATAATACCAATACCAATACCTATAGCAGCAAATTGGGTTACAAGTTAATTATTCAAAAATTTGTTTCTACAGCCATCATCAATCTGAGCTGCCAATAGTCCTTACAGGAAAGAACTGAGAAAAAATAGCCAGTGGCGCTTATATAGACACATAACAAGAAATTTTAAACTGGGAAAAAATAATTCTGAACCTTGGCAAATCCACTTCCCAGTGCCTGAGAAAGTAAACTATCGTAAGAATAACAATCAGAGCCACAGGCTATATAATAGATTCCCTTTTGCTGTAATACAACATAGTATTAACTATCTGACATATATCTTGTGCTCTTTTCTTCTTCAACTAAACTCTTTGCTGGAGAGCAATGGACCTGAGCTCTAGATGTAAAGCATTCTAGCAGAAGAAATTGGAAAGTTGCTGCCACTTTGCAATTAAAGGGGCATCAGAACCTGAAGGTAGCTGGGCTGCAAATTATGAGATTGAGAAAATAAGAAACAATATTTAAGCTATTGCAAAAAGGCCACAATGAAGGCATCCCAAATCAGAGAAGCAAAACAAGGATGCAGCTTCTTGAACCCGCTTGTTAGTGTGTAAAATTCTTCGTAAAAGACCAATAAGAACTTTGTTGAACTGTTCATATTCCTTTTGATGTCAGGTATCCTAACGCTCAAAAGTCCTAATTTTTACGTAGCTTGATGGCATCTGTTCCATGGACACTTCAATGGCGTATTCTAGTTCACTCTGTTTTAGTGGTGAAGGGTTTTAGTTATCTCTGCTTTGGTAAGCAATATTTTAAGAGGGGCACAATGGGGATGAAGTAAGATTTAGTAGGGGCATTATGGGGATGAAGCAAATTAAACGACTCTGTTAAAGACTCTGGTAGACAAGAAGTTATTGTGTTTTTTTAATATTTCTATCCGATCATATTCATATCCTACCTAAAATACATATATTTGTATCATTATTCTCAAATTCAATTATATTATATTCAACTATTTTTAAACTTACTATGTTTGTTAATTTAGCTAAGAAAAATGCTACGGACACTGACGTTTTACACCGAATGACGTATCTACTGAATCCGACAAGAAAAATGCTATGAACTCCGACGTTTTGCATCAAATTTTTACACAAATAACATGTTCACTGAATCAGACAAATCACGTATCATGTTAACAAATAATCTGCGAATAAACAGTCGTCCATCAAATATAGACGATCGTCCATTGTTATTGGACGATTGTTCATTTGAAATGGACTGTCGTCCATATTATATGGACGACTATCCACCTAGAATAGACGTCTGTTTATAGTTTAAACTTAAAAAATTTGTCCTAAATTATTTATGGACGCCTGTCTCTTTATGAGGATATTCATCCCCATATCTATGGACGCTCATCCCTTACGAGAATGTATGTCCCCATGGTTATGGACGCATGTCCTCTTATGAGTACGGACGTCCATAATTTAATATAAACAAATTTTAAAATTTAAATTTATTTAATGCATTAATTGTCCAAAAGTTGACAAAAGTTATCCAATGCATTAATTTATTTAATTGGGCGTCCATCCAGCTGCTTTGAATATGGACAAAAAATTTATGAAAGTTGTCCAATTACTTTAAACATTGACAAAAGTTAAATGACAAATTGAGTGAATATAAACAATGGACAGGCGTCCATCTAAACGGGACGCCCGTCCATTGAATGCAAATTTTTTTTGAATTATTTGGACCGGCTCCATACAAGCGTCCATTAAAAGGGACGCTTCTTAATGAATGCAAATTTTGCAGGGTCGCTCGTCTATGGTAAATAAATGCCTGTTTACGTACATTATTTTTTTTTTAAAATTTTGAAGATGAGTGTCCATCTTAAATAGACACTTGTCTATTTTTTTTTTAAATTATTTAGTCTGTTTATAGTAAATATAATTTTTTTTTTTAAAATTATTTGGATGGACATCCATCTTATATAAATATCCGTCTATAGTAAATAAATGTTTGTCTGCGTCTATTATTTTTCTTTTAAAATTTTTGGACGGGCGTCCATCCATAGTAAATAGACACCCATTCATATAATATAAACAGGAGTCCATTAAATATGAACAGACGTCCATAAATGTTGGACGACCGTTCATTCACAAAAGACTCCAACGTGATCGCATCTAATTGGTTGTCATGTTCTTTAGTACAAAAATTCGGCGTTCGTAGCATTACTAGCTAAACACCCCTTACAATAAAATATTAAAAATTAACAAAAACATTCTCACCCATTAAATATCGACAGCCAGCCACCACTGTAAGAGGGTGGTCGAAAGTTACCGTAATGGCATACGATCAGTCAGATCCAATCGGTTATGCGTCATTATGACAACTTCTGACCACCCTCCGACGGTAGTGATCGATTGCTGACATTTAATGGGTAGGGGTATATTTATTAATTTTTAATGTTTTATTATGCGGGTGTTTAACAAAATTAATAAATTTATAAGGTGTTTTCGTTAATTTTCAAAGTCTACTTTGTAACAAAAATCCAACTCAACTTTTTCAACATAAAGTTTTATTTTTGACATGATCTGTCAATGATGTGGGGGATGATAGCGGCGAATCATGGACGGGGGAGATTCTCGAGAAGGGATTGTGAAGCTGTTGTGTTTGGATCAATATCAGGGTGGATATGATTAAAGCCATGATCAGCTGCGTCCTCCACCAATTCCGTTTCAGTGGTTTAGAGTTTTAGAGATCTCTGTTTCTGCAAAGTTGTTCTACAGCAATAATATTGAGGTATATTTCATAGCTTTCTTGTTATTTCAATAAGTTATTTGAACTTTTAGGGCACTCCCGAA